TTTGTAGATTATTAATGAATTAACTTTTTAGTAAATAAAATTAAGTATTTGAGTTATTATTTAATTCAAACCTGTAAGTGTTATTTTATATCACACAATCCAAATAGTTTTCAGTAATTATTTGTTACAATTATCCTTACTAAAATATAAATAAAAACATTTATTTCTAAAATTTATTTTAATATTAAAATTCTTTTCGATTCTTATTTACCTGTAGTTCCTTCCAATACTAAGTAAGAAAAGTATTGCAATCGGGTCAAATTTCCTATGAGCAGTTTTCGACGGATCTGTACTTTTCAGAGCCCCTTATATCCGAAAAACACATTTCCAGCCATTGGTCTGTTTGTATGCCTGTCTCAGCTAAGATTATCTTAGGAACTAGTTGACCGATTTTGTTGACTACTGATGCCTGTGACAAATTGGGTGCTCCCTGCGCAACAGCGGCTTCACATGTGAAAACCATATTTTTTTCTAGGCTGTAGCGCAAAAACGGCTCAAACGATTTTGATGAAACTTTCCTATGATTTTCTAATTAACGTCCTTTCCATTTTTGTACCTGAGCTAAATTCCCAAGAAACTTCAGGAAAAAAAGTTATTAATAAATGAAAAATGTTTTAGGAGCTATGTATATATTTTATGGTAAAGTTCATATTTATAAACCTATGAAAAGTTATTAAATTACCTAAAAAACAAAATAAAATTCATCAGATTATTATTGTGAGCCATAATACATTTATTTATTCCAGAAGCTGGTTTATATTGCTTTAGTTTATAAAAAAAATCGTACTCAAATAATTTCTTTGTTCAACTTTAAGGAAAATAAATCTAATTCAAATTTTTTTAACATATTCAAAGGTATAAAAATATTTCTGAAATAGGTATACGTGTTTTCCTCACCACACCAGATTTTTTTTTTTAATTTTACACTCGTAATATGCACATCTTTGAAATGTTAATATTTGTCTATATTTTCTTAATTTTTTTATTTTATATATCTGTCAGGTATTAGTTTACCGTTAATATGTCACTTTAATTACACGGCGATGTGAGGAATAAAATCAATATATCTATGTATACAAAACAGTGAATATTAATACATATTTTTAAAATATTTGCCTAGAGCTATTCCCTAAAAGAAAACACCAAAATTCATTGAAAGGGTCAAATATCGAACGGTGTATTTTGGGGTCATCAAGTTCGTGCTCTATCTGCCGACTTCCTTAATAGCCTCGACTTGCTCTTGCTGCAGATTTTCTTTTTGTATTTTTCTGTTATTTTTTTTTTCAAAAAGAAGAGATAACTAAAATAAAAAAGATAATGTAATATATTTATATCTAGTACATATTTCAATTTCCTCTTTATTCGTTTGTTATTTATTTCTTGATTTTTTTTTTTTCAGTCAATTTCTTTTATCTTCACTTTCATTTTTTTTTTCTTCCATTTGTTAATTTATAAATTATACAAACATCTGGGTAATGAACAAATTTCTCAAATCCTATAAAACAAACAAGAATTGAACCTATAACCTAATTCAAATATATATTTAATAAATAAATATAAAAATACATATTGTTTATCCATGGACAGTATTCATATCTTATTTAAATATATTATTTTCGAGTAGCAAGAAATTTTATCAAACAATTTTCCAACATTCTTTAAATTTTTTATTCGATTTCAATATGAAATATAAGATTATAACATTTAAAACTATTTATATGCGTAACCGTTCACTCCCTTAAATAGTGGCCAAACTTAATAAGAAAAAAGAGGACACAGAAGTGAGATTCATCAAGCTGTTTCAATATCTAGTATTATAACAGAGTATAAAAGAATAACTTATCTCCAATGACCCTCTGAGATAAAAGCAAAAACAAATAAAAAGCCTTATGATGAAATTGTAAAATGACACTAGGTCTTGGTTTTAGGAAAACAACAACATGAATTCTTATTCCGTTTAAATCTACTCTCACAACTTTGAAATAGGTTGGAAAATTATCTAGTTTCTTTCCTAACTACATTTTTTAAAACGTATTTGAAACATATATTTGACTTATAAGCATTGCTCATATTCGACCAGAAGCAACGGGTCAAATCTATTTATATGTTTAGTTCATTTTCTCAAAAACTGGAATAGATGGTTTAGGAATTTATGTGAAGAGATATTAAATTTTAGAATTCTTCATCAATTATTTTTTTTTTAGATAAAGAAGCAAGACATTTATTGTTCTATATTATATAATTATTGTGGCGGCCATAGGTAACCCATGGCCTGACAAGTATCTCATTAGAGAAATAATAAACGTATGATGGGAGATGAGAAAAAGATCAGTAAGTGTGGTCTTTGTTTGGGTACCATCCCATAGCGGCATAACGGGTAATGAAAAAGCTCATATGGCGAGGAAGGGAGAGATACCAGGTACAACGCCAATAAATTGCATCACCGTTGAAGATTGGTTCTATGAAACAAAAAAAAAAAGCTATTAAAAAATTGGGAAGACCAACTGAAAACACAACGAGGCAAACTACCAGAAATAAAAACCGAGTGCAACACATGGGCCACAAGCTCCAGAAAATCGAGAAGAGAAGAAGTAATTTTATGCCGAATGCGAATTGGACACCGTCTTTTCACAAACGGATACCTTCTTAGAGGTCTTTTTTTTTTTTTTTATCTATCTGTTTATTGAGTAATAATACATTTTGCCACACTTAAGGGCACTGAGTATTAAGGCTGAGAGAGGCACATTCTTACCATATATACAATACATAAAAAAAAAAAAGTAAATAAATAAAAAAATAAATAAATAAAAAATATAAAAAAATATAAAAATCTATATAACAAAGGCAAAAACTATAATAAACTAGGAAACGTAACTAAGAGCTAAAATTAAATGAAATACAGAAATTCGTAGCAAAATTAAATAAATTATAAGTAATAGTCTTAGAGGTCTGGAAACACCAACATGCCAACAGTGTGACAACACCCCTCAGACAATTAAACATCTATTATTAGATGTTCATATTGTGCCACCAATATGAAAAAAAAAAGAAACAAAAATTAAAGCTTTCGACGACATTGAAAGATATTTTGGGAAACAAGGAGGAAGATGTCATCATTCTCTTTCAATATTTATTAAAATTTATTATTAATGACCCTGTAGGGTAGAGACAAATACAAATTAAAAAAAAAAAATATATATACATATATATATATATATATATATATATATATATATATATATATATATATATATATATATATTATAATATTTGATGTGAATGTGTGCATATTTCACCATAATTATTGTCCACTTGACAGATTATTATATTTCCAAATAAAAAAAAAATATAATATTAAAATTGACGCTTCTTAATCAAGTCATGTTTTTCTCAAATGAAAAATTGGCGTTCTCCTTTAACTATCTACAACAACCAAATTCCTACAAAAAACTATGCAAGGTACATTGGCTTCTTCGTAGAAATAAGACTTACATGGAACATACATACGAAATTAAACATACAACAACAGAAAATAAAATATATTCAACTCTCTACTTCTTCTGGACTGCAGATGCTTACTCGAACTACAAAACAATGGACTAATCTACAATACTATACTAATACCAATTTGGCCATACGGTGCATAACTATGGGGTTAAGCAAAATAAAATACAAACAACAAAATCTAAAATTATTTCAATAATTGTTAACGCGTCATAGTATATTTCAAATCACACTATACACAATGACATAAATATTTCTCCTGCAAAATCTGACATCCACAAAAAATACACATTTCTCTCTTCTTCTTCAAATAACCTCAATCACTCGTTCTGCCAATTATATTCCCCTGACAAACGATTGACTAAAATTAAAAAAGAAAGTGACCGAGAAACCGGCTGCTCACTAATAGTGTGCCACTCAATAATCGATAAATCATGGCCATTGTCAAGAAAAATTAAAGAAACCAATCATTTAATATCAAATTTGTTAGATGGTTTACTGTGCAGTTGCGAACTGTTATCTTGTTTTTAAAAGTTTTTAGCTGCATTCATACGAGGGACGAAATATTTCTACGATTGATTTAGAAATAGCCAATATTTTAATATTGGAAAGTTCCAACTGCATGAAATTTATTTACTTCCTTCAGGTTGACGTGTTTTTTCCGTGTGGTCGAATAATAAAAATAAATAATTAAAAAATAATATTAGACTCAAATCGTAGGCCATTTCATATAATAAAAAAACAACTAAAGTGTGTGCTTTAGACCATACGATAGAAGTGAAAACATTAACCAGGCGAGATTAATAACATGGAATATAAATCATAAATAATATTTCATTATAAAGAGGATGAAATGCTGAACATTTCCCTCGCTTACAGTACGCAGGTCTGATTTTTAGTTTCTATATTTAAATTCGTATCTTCCATAAAACTCGCTATAATTTGGTATTCGATACTACATTTTTCCTTTTCGTCTATCTAACACGGCTTTAAGATACAATATTAGTTCCTGAGATATTATAGTGCATATGCAAAACCACTTAAATTAGATAACTCCAGCCAACTATACCCGAGCGTTACACATCGGAAATTTAACGGCTCAATTTAATTCACTCTTCACAAAAAAAAGTGCAAAAAGCTTCTAAAAAGTTTTTACTTCAAAAATGAATATTATAAGCTTGATGATTTTGAAGTTATAAGCAAAACATAATTAAAACAAAATATATATGTATTCATTTTTATATTTATTGGAAAATAAATCAATGTGCAAATGTAAATATTCGTAGTTATTAGCCAATTTATCAGCAGATTTACAGAATTTTCCAAAAATTCCGCACATATATCACTTTTTGATCTTTATTTGACTGGGATCGATTGTCTGAATGCGCAGATGTTCTGTTATTAGGAAAATAGTATCCATCAAAAGGAAATTAAAACTAGAGTGAACCCCATGCAAGGTGATTGATGTGATTAGCTCATTACGAAGAAACTGTAACGTGTGAGACAAGGACAGGAGTTCGGTCCGAGTGGCAGGGCCCTTAGTCTTGTCCGATGGAGGCCCTCAAGGTAACGAGCGGTGTCAGCTGCTTCCTCCGGGTCAGTTCGGACATGAAAGGACACAGGACAGCCCACGTCAGGCGAAGAGGCTCTGTCGTATTTAATAACTTTCAGCCCTGACACGAGTAACTCCAATAGAAAATATGATACAATATGTGGTCGACAATGGTTTCGAAATTTAAAAAATCTAATAATTTATTTTTATAGGTGATAAATATTCAGAACGCAGTCATTATAAAGTTTGTATTTGTGCCGACGTTTCAACCCAAACGTGTGGGTCATAATAAGGGGTGGACGAGCACTCATTCTATTCTACCTTCAGGATAATGGAATAACTTCAGTGCTCAAATCACGCCCTGATGATGACCCACATGTTTGTATTGAAACTTCGGCAATAATAAAAACTTTATAATGTCCTGAATACTTATCACCCATGATATGTAGAACAGTCGACTAACTTCCTTCAATCATTTCTGTTTATACATTAGGAGAAAAACATTGAGACAGCTAAAATGTTGGAACAATTAATCTAACGTTATAATATAAATATTTTGTTTTACAAAAGTGAGTGTTAACGCCGCATACACTAATATATTTAGTTTTTTATTATTTTTTTCTCAGCATTTACCCTTTTTAAAACGTTAATAATAAAATGTTTACTTTTTTATTTTATAAAACTCCAAGGGACAATTGTCCTAGAGATGTACAGAATTTGGAGATTGGGTATTATGCGCGATGTTTATCGCTCATTTATATGCACCAGTCCGGCAGTAATACCCAATATTGGATATTAAGACATCAAAATACTGCGATAAGATTGCCTAGAAATCAGTCAGGAGCGAGCTTTCATAGCCTGCGTCTATGTATCTGGTCATCAGCATTGTATTGTTTTTGTTATTTGATGGATGTATTTTTTTCATTAATAGGATATTGTAGTTATGTATTATTTCTTCTCGAAACTTTACACCATTGTTTATTTTAACTTTTGTACATATTTAGATTTTTTTTTAATATTTAATAGTTGACCGTTGCATTATAACGGAAGGAGATGGTCTGGGTGGCGGTCATAAATAGGCGTAATAGTGGCAGAAATATTATAATAAAAGCCAACGTTTCGACCCGACTTTGCGGGTCTTCTTCAGAGCTAGAACAGACAAGATACAAACAGATAGAGAATTGTGGAAGTTACATAATATTTAGACAAAAAATTATAAACAATCTGAATACGCTTATTAAAATTTAAGTAAGCTAAGCAACAAGATCCTAAACTGAAGTAAATAGATGGTAACAATTGTTGTAGTGTGATATATAATATATGCAAATGTGAATATATTTCTACAGGAAAGATTGAAAGAAAAGGGAACAGGAAATAATAGACATGAAAGAATGTGGAGAAAGAAAAGAAAAATAAACCAAAAAATAAATAAATAAGTAAATAAAATCTGGTGATTGTTCAACTTGTGCTGAATTGTTGCTTTATTTTTTGTTTCATATTATGCTTTACTAATACTTCCTCCAATCACTATATGGAGGTGATTGTATGTAATAATGTATCTAAAATTCATTTGTAATTGGCTGAGTATAGGTAAATTGATAAGTGATGGATCGATATTCTAATAATGGGGCTCACCAGTTGTATTGTGTCGGTCTAGTTAGTCAATAGTCCTCAATCTAGTCAAGCTTGAAGCTTTTTATACGTGTTTGCCATCACTCTGGCCGTCCCGTCGGAATTAGTGTCCTAAAAACTGGATCAGTCGCGTATTACATGCTAGAAGGAAATTTGATTTGCCAGCATGTTTTAAATCTCTCTTTTAATCGGCAGTTCTAAGCACTTGTGGAGTTGGTCTGTTGTACTCTCTAATGAAGTGTGTCACGAATTACGTCTCAGCATTCAGTTTAGACTTATACATTTGATATCATCGGCGCTCTCTGAAGAAGGTCTTAAGACTCTTTTATAAATTAATAATCTGAAACGGAGGGATATATATTGTAATGACAATAGATGGTTTAGTCTGAAAGACTTGGTCTTTACCTAAATGATCTTCTGACTGGAGAGGAATAGTCTGACGCCTCTCGAGGGTGTTATAAAAATCATCAAAGACCTTAGAAATTGGCACTTGTTCTTCTAGAAAGAAAAAACAATGATAAATTTAGTGTTCTCGGGATTAAATGTAATATTTATTCCTTTCAGTTTCTTGGTATTTTTTTAAAACTAATTAAACATGTTTATTTTTATGTGTATCCATTTTATGGGACCAGGAATAACTCGACCACTGACATAAAAAAAAACAAACATGAATTGTTGAAATAAAAATGGATCACAAATTATGAGTGATTATACAAGAGGACATTTGAATCAGAACTTTAGATTAAAAGTTAACAACTGACAAACTGATCCGGAAAAAGTAACGAAGTATAGAACTGGGAAAACATGGGCTAAAGATAAAAAAGAAGCATACGTCAAAAGGATGGAAAAAATATGATATGAATGAAACGAATTAATGAATGAAAAATAATTTTGTTCTGTCCTCTAAAAATAATAACCGATTTACAAATTTATGGGTCTTAGTAACATAATAATAAAATTACAAACTAATTTTCTGTTAATTGTTATTTCAATTGTGCAATAGATTGAAATTAAACAGTGAACTGATGCAAGTAATTTTGCATGTTAGCGGAAGTTTGAATGTATAGTAGGTGGTGGAACAGGAGTTGTTTGAAGAAATTTGTGGACGAGGATTGACGGATGGAGGTAGGAAGTGAGTTCTATAAGGAAGCAGAACAAATGACGGAGGATTTGCTGAAGGAAGAAGTTTTATGGGAGGGGATAAATAAGTCTGTAGGTTGAGACCTAGTTTTGAGAGAGTGTGCTCAAAGATAGAATATGAAGTGTATTAGAGTAATTTAGATAACCCCAATTGGATATCCGCCATGGAGATGATCACAGCTTGTTCTCGAAACGTGATCATATGCTCAGATACCAACTCCTGGAACACGGTTTGGGGGTCCAATCGAACAAATAGAAGGGGTACTAAGCTCGGTGATTTCATATCTAGGAGTCAGCTAGTAGTAATTAACGACCCTTCTGCCATCCCTACATTCTCTAGTGCTAGGGGACAGAGTTGGATTGATGTGACTCTGGCATCACAGCAGCTGGCTAACCGTATCACCGATTGGGCCCTCGGATCTGATACGAGTTCCGACCATCACTCAATAGTGTTTAGTGTCGTAGAAAATGCGACACTTACAAGTTCCCACGGCATAACTAAAGGCTATATTACAAAAAGAGGAAACTGGAGTGCCTTCCGGTCAACGTTAGAGGGAAAACTCGTTGACAATGAATGGGATGCGGCGGAGACGGATCTGACTGATGACCTAGATTACAGAGTCTCCAGGATAACAGATATCATCTGTGATGCTGCAGAGGAAACCCTCCAGCACCGGAAGGCAAGAGCTCGACCAGTCCCATGGTGGACGCCGGCCCTCACTATTATGAAGAGAGAACTCTACAAGGCACGGCGGTCGTACCAGAGGTGTAGTTGTGACGAGAGGCGCACTACACTTCATGACGAGTACAAGTCTAAGGCCAGGACATACCGAAACGAAGTGCGGTCACTAAAGCGGAAGTCTTGGGACGAGTTTATCGTCGAGGAGTCATCCAAGAACCCCTGGGGTATCCCTTACAGAGTGGCCCTGGCTAAGATGAGTCCACAACAGGTGATTGCTGCAATGAAGAGCGGCGATGCCCAGGCGACCACTCTGGAGGAGACGGCGAAAAATTTCATTATAGAGACCTTCCCCAGAGATGATCCGTCCCAAGATGACGAGAGAGACGCATTTATTAGACGCACTACGGTATGCCCACCCGGTACAGACTTGTGCCCACCCTGGGACATATGGGATCTCCGTACTGCCGTGGATAGACAAAGGCTTGGTCGTGCCCCAGGTATTGACAATATTGATACGGCAATCCTCCGAAATAGTATTCCCTACAGTGAAGATCAACTCCTGGCAATATTCAATGATTGCTTAGATAGGGGCTACTTCCCAAAGAAGTGGAAAATTGCCGATCTCAGACTTATTTACAAGGGAGGTGACAAGGATAAACAAATGGCAAAGTCTGATAGGCCTATCTGTCTCCTCCCTGTTATGAGTAAGGTGTTGGAGAACATGATGGTCACGAGCCTACAGCCTATTTTTTCGAGAGCTTCCCATCCACGGCAGTATGGATGTACCAAAGGCAGGGGAACTGCAGATGCCCTGCTGAGAGTACGCCATGACGTTGAAGAGAAGGAGGAGAAGTATGTCATGCTCCTCTTGTTTGACATCACCTCCGCCTTCGATAGCGTATGGTGGCCAAGTGTACTCCAGCAGCTGCAGAAATACGAGACTCCTAGCAACTTGTACATTTTGATGAGAAGTTATCTCCAGGATAGAACGCTCCGAATAAGAGGTAATTTCTACGAAGTAGAAGATAGTATGGAGAAAGACTGTCCACAGGGCTCTGTCCTTGGCCCTGCTCTGTGGAAACTTGTCTTCGACGAGTTGCTGGGTGTGCTCGAAGAAGAGCAGTTCTCCGCCACAGCTTTTGTGGATGATTTAGCCGTTGTGGTGGCGTCGAACAGCAGAGCCAGGTTGAAAGAAGAAGCTGAGCGGTGCGCCAACCTGATAGAAAGATTGTGCGAGATGAAGAAACTGCGGATGTCAGCTGCTAAAACACAGGCTATCCTCTTGAAAGGCAAGACTGATAGGGCTCACCCTATTACAATGATAATCCAAGGATCGAGAATTCGTCCGAGTGAGATTGTCACCTACCTCGGAGTCAGAATAGGAAGAAATTTCAACGTGTCACCTCACTTGGACTATTTGAGAAGTAGGGTGACCCTAGCGCTTAATGGACTCAGTCGTATCGGGGGTGCATTTTGGGGCCTCAGATACCCAGCGACTAAGACAATTTATAAAGGTGTAGTTCTGGGTATTCTGAGGTACGCGTCCCCAGGTTGGTTTCTGCATCTCTCGCACCACCAGAAGAGGAGGTTGGCTTCGATTCAGCGGACGGCTCTGCTGCGCGTCACCAGAGCTTTCAAGACAGTGTCTCATGAGGCAGTACAGGTCCTGGCAGGAGGTGTTCCTCTCGACCTCCTGTTGCAGGAAGACATGTTAAAGCACCAGCTTTCAAGAAAAGGCTCGGCAGGTCTACCAGAAAATCTCCGTGAGAAGATTAACCTACAGCCAGGTAGATGGAAAAAGATAATACAAGAGTATACCCTTGACGAATGGAACCAGCGATGGGTAACAACTCCGAAAGGAAGTACTCTTAGAAAATATTTTCCCACCATCGGTTCCCGGTTAGCAGCAAAATGGGTGGAACCTGGTTATTTGGTCTCCCAACTACTCACTGGACACGGGGGCTTCCGAGCAAAGCTCTTCCAATTTGGAAAGAATATCAACCCCTTGTGCCCTAGTTGCGGAGTCCCAGAGACTGCCGAGCACATTGTCGTAGCATGTACTGCCTATGAGGCACAGAGAGCAAAACTGCTCAGGGAAACCGGTGAAACCTCTACATTTTGACTGAAAGGGAGCTCCCTCAACTCATGAGTGAGGAAAACTATCCTCATTTTATAGATTTCATTGCAAAATGGAAATCCATTATAGGCCCAACTCATTTCTCCTTGGGAAGAAGAGGAGCTGCACCGCCTGGAAGGCCGCCGGACGGAGTAGCAGAAGAAAACCGTGACCAAACTTAGAAGAAATGTAGTCGAAATATGGACCCAGTCTATAAATATTGTTTTTCTAGCAGCAGTGTGTTGTTACGCGGAAACGCTTAACATCTCACTGCTGCTAAAACCCGTATTGCCTATCAGGCACGGCAGGGATGTAAATAAATAAAAAATAAATAAACCCCAATTGGATAGTGGGCGGGGTAGCCGAATGGGCTAAGGCGTGTGCACTGCACCGCTGTTGCCCGGCAACCTGATATATAAGATTGTGATAAAAAAAATAACCACGAGTTCGCGTCCCGGTGCCAAGGGAATCTTTTAAATCCCCGCCTACACCCCCTGGCCCGGGAAAACCCCGTATAGCCTTAACGGCGAGGAAGGGGAGGACAAAAAAAAAAACCCAATTGGATGGGGGCGGGGTGGCCGAATGGGCTAAAGCATGTGCACAGCACCGCGAGTTGCCTGGCAACTGGATAAACAGATTTGAGAAGATTAAAAAAGTACGAGTTCGCGTCCCGGTGCCAGAGGGGATTTTAAATTCCCCGCCCTTACCCTCCGGCCTGGAAAAATCCCGTATAGCCTAAAAGGCGAGGTAGGAAAGAACAAAAAAAAAAAAAAAAACCCGATTGGATTTATTCGCTAATAATAATGTAAATAAGTATTCAACAGCATATATAACATATAATGGTGAAGAAGTTGTCTCATTCATTGAAATGGAAGCATGGAATGGAGGCTCTAGTAAATTGCTGGAGCATAGCCTGGAGAACTTATCCAAGGATCAAGACTAATCGGGAGGCGGCCAGTGATGTTGTTTATTGTAGTCCGGTCCGGGCTCTAATTTACTGTCCAGTGAGGCCAATCCCGCCCTGGCTTCCCGCCAAACGGCCCCTGTTCCCGCCGAAATATGTATTTTCCACGCTCCTCCGATTTGCGGTTTTAACTGTTGTTCACTGTTAGCTATCCTTAAATGGAAGGCCTCCCACGCTACAGATTTTGTTATTGATTATTTTAAACAACCATAGTTTATAGTTGTAAATCCTATGTAAATAACTCAAGTAGAGATTGATCAAATATCTCCGTATTTTAGATCAATTAAGTCAGCTTTTAAAGACACCTATTTATTGATTTTTATTTATTGATCAGATTAATAAAATCTAGAATTAATATAATCTAGAAAATTTAAAAGATAAATATCCCCGTTTCTTTAGTACCGCTTTCTTTAGTAGTATATATATATATATAGTATATGTATATATATATATATATATATATATATATATATATCATATATATATATATAATATATATATATATATATATATATATATATATATATAATATATATATAATATATATATATATATATATATATTTTTTTTTTTCCGTGTGTGGAGTGTGGACGGAGATTTAAAAGACTCTCACGGCACCGGGAAGCGAACTCGTTACTATTTTTTTATATTTTCGTCTCATATATCATATTATTTGATCGCCTTAAGTCTCTCGACCACAGCGGCCCATTAAATAGTACCCAGAAAGCGGTTTAGAGAGTAGCGCAGGGATCTACCGGAGTCCTGTTTTTCCCTTTATAGTTATTTAGTTGTTTTTTTTAAATAATTTATTTATCTTTAAGTTATTTCATTTTATTTATTGCATACAAATTTTGAATATTATTTATTTATTTTCTTCTGCTTGTTTTACATATTTTTTATACATATTGTGTGAATATCATCTTACCTTTCTATAACCAATATCTATGTGACAGATTGTTAAATTATTCAATAAATAATTTTTTTAAAAATGTAGTTATATTAGGATATGGTGATGAAACTATTGTAGTTATCAGGGTAAAGCAAAGTCTATTTTCCAATTTTTTTGTTTTTATTAATAATCTCTGTTACTCGCCCTTTACTGGTTAATTTGTTTAAAACTAGATAGATAGATAGTTTTATTTAAAAAAAAAAATTTTAAATAAAAATATTTTCTTTATTAATTAAAATAGAAAAACTTTCATTACAATTGTATGAAAACATCTGACAAGAGTATTTCCTAAAATATATAAATAAAAAATTAAAAGAAGCTGTATAGGTTAAACAAACTGTTTTGCTGACTTATATGATCTGAATAATTTTTACGTTGACAAAGCACAAAACAGAAAGTAAATGATTTTTTTTTAATAAACTTCATTCGTTACTTATTTCACTTCGGTTTATATATAGCAGAAAAATATTAAGCATTGTAATCATGAATGAAAAACAACTTGTATTTATTAGCAGATATATCATATTTTAATAAAACGTTCCAGTATTTACATTCAACAAGTCTATATGTTTATTGCGGTCTACGCTAATTGTCCAGCAGTGCAAATATAACTTTAATGAAATTCATTTTAATTTGTTCTGGACCATGAAATCTGGGCCACAGATAAAATAATAATTGATATTATTATTATTATTTATTAAATTTAAATAAAAGCATATCTTTAAGGCAATAAGATAACACAAACAAAAAAAAACTGATCTGACATGATTTTCCAAAACATTTAACTGAATTTTAATAAAAATTACAATTAATTTTTAATAAGGAGAGGTCATTTATCTTAGTGTGGGATTCGGAGGAGGTTTCATTGCCACCCCTCACTACTTTGGACTACCTGCGGAATAGAGCGGCCCAATATCTGAACGGCCTTAGTCGAGCATACCCAATCATAGATACTCAGCAACAAAGACCATTGATAAAGGTATGTTTGTAGGTATCCTGAGGTATGCGTCTCCTGTGAGGAATTGGAATCTCGCACTGACAGAAGAGCAAGTTGGTGACAGTTCAGCTTTCGGCTCTGCGGCGAGTCACCAGAACGCTGAGGAGAGGAGTCCCGCAAGAAGATATGTTCAGGTACATATAAGAAAGAAGGTTCAGCAGGTCTACCGGGAAACCTCAAAGATAGAATCGACGAAAACCCAAATGGAAATCTATTAACCGAGAGGATACACTGAGGAAGTACTTCCCCACTGTTTGGAAGCCAAGTGGGTCCTTTCGTATAACTGGCTCTCGCTATTCCTGGGCATGGGGGCTTTCGAGACAGGCTCTATGGATTGGAAAAGTATATCGATCATCCGTGGCCTTGCTTTGGGACTCCGGAGACTGCTGAGGACATTATCATAAACTGCACCGCCTTCGAGTCGCTAAGGGCCAAATTGCTAAGGGAGACCGGTCTTTATGTTTTCACAGCGACCGGTTTCCCTCAGCTATTTAAGAAAGAAAACTATCCGTACTACTAAACACTTCAACCTCACAAGAAGAGGCCGCCGGAACAAGGAGTAGCGGAATAAGACAATAAATAGCAGATTTAAATTTGAAAATTGGCTATGCAGTGAAACGAAGTTATGCAGTGACGTGTAACAACCCAGTCCTGCAAAAACACATATTGCATCAATAGCTCGGTAGGGTTCAAATAAATAAATAAAATTAATTAATTTTTCATACATGATAATAACTTTCATATAATAAAGAAAATAGTTGTTATTAATTCTATGAACCAAATATAACCAAATTTATTCGGTGTTCCAAATTGATGCAACGTTGAAAAAGCAGAAACGTAAATTTTATCCTGGGATATTTAGTCACCTAAGAATAATTATAATGAACTGTTTAGTGATATTTATCTGGGCTATCAATTAAACATCAAGAATTAAATTAAATTAAATTATATTGTCATTGAGCCTTGAAATTGAAATAAAAGAAAGGCACAAATTAACATTTGTTATATATATTAAACAGTGCCACACTTTCGTCTTACCAAAGAAGAAAATTAAGCGTGGCATTCTGCAAAACAACTTACATCAAAAGAATGTTCTATAATAAGCAGGATCAAAATTGACCCATAATTCCAAACTGACCCACCGCTTCCTTCTTGGCTTACATCAATCAACATGTAAGGCATGTAGAAATGCTAATCAGACGGTAGAACACATATTCTAGAGAAAAATCAATAAATTGAACTCAAAATCGATGACAAAGCAACGTACAAAGAAAACATCGAAATTGAAATAATCTGAAGCACATTAAACTAATAAAATTAATAATTTATATTTAAGAAGAAAGATGGTCATTAATGATCTTGGCAGTCGATGCGAATTTAAAAACAAAGAGGAAACAAAAAAAATTGAATAATAGATAAATGTATACGAGTGTGTTAACATATAAACAATATGTAATATATACGTATCTGTAAAATAACAGTGAAATTGTGAAGAGTAATTATTCGTCAAGATTATCTTCTCTAAACTGAAAATTCCGAAAAAAAAATTTCTCATTTAATACTAACTTATAAATGTATTCTTGTCCTTTTACGGGGGTTCGGAACAAAAACTACTACAGACTTATAATCCTGGACGTGTTCAAGACCAAGTAAGCATAAACCGGAAGTATTTTGAACAACTTACAGTTTATAGTTTTTTTTCCGGCTAGACTTTATTTCTGGCCCATAAAGCTAAGGTGTCCTCAATTTTATAGTAGAAATAAACAATGGCTACTAAAGAAGTGATGATTTACAAACTAAAAAAAAAAATTTAAAAACTGTAGTTGACCTAGTTTGCCATGTTGGCTTTGATCTAAGCTTCCATTGCAGACGTGTCTCCCACCAGAGGGGCTAAATCGAGTACTATTTGGTTAACGTGATGTACCGACAGGTGCAGAGGTAATGAACTCGCCGCAGGATTTGGTCGAACCCTAACGAACTTTGGCTTGTTACGGGCAACCACCGGACGCATGGGTCCCAGAAGAACCCTAGGGCTATCCGTTATTCGACTAACGAACACACTCCAACAGTGATGAAGTTACCCTCGTCCAACTGTTTAAATCTGAAAGAGATATTATTATTATCCAGACTTAGGACTTATGGAGATTATAAATGGAAAAATTTACATTTTTTTATGTAATCTAAATCCCGAGATTTCCAAAACTTCAGAGGAGTTACTGAATACCAAAAAGAGCACCCATTGCCTCTTTAACATTTAACTGTACCATTACAACTCATGGAACTTGTTATTTTCAGTACTTTTTAATTATTTCTTGGTGAAGATAGTAGAAGAAGATGAATTCACATCACGCTAAGCCAGAAGGTTTCCTACTTAATTAACAATTTCATAAAACGACCCCACATTTTGTCGACTAGATCCCTCGAAATTTCATCGAAAACTACACAAATTTTGATAACATTAGAACCCACAAGACCCACAAAAAATTATTAGAGATTTAGGTATCTGTATTCTACACGAAATGATATAAAGCCGGCTTTCGTAAAGAAATTAGAACTGGATATAAAAAATATAAATGTAACAAGAAATAAAGTTTATCTTTATTTCTAGCTTTAAAAGAAATGAAATCCAAAAGTTAATGATGCCGGTTTGAAGAGTAGTAATTCAGCTTTCTAAGAGTTACCGTAATATTGAACTTGAAGAAAATCCTGAGAAGTTCAGTAATGTTAGGGGAAAAACAGCCTTACAATTTTTTTAGAATCATTATAAGAAAAACACTTCGAATGATAAATTGAACTATCAAAAATGTTAAAAACTAATCAAACTTCAAAAAGGTAACGTCTACTGGATAACATAAATTAAAGCAATTTTTGCTCAAAATGTAAATGTAATAAATGTAATCTTATAAATATCTCCGTAACCATTGATTTTTTTACTATTATTATTATTATTTTTATATATTTTAAAGTACTTTAATGTAATGAACAATCTTTTCAAAAAACCTCATAGTTTTCAAAAAACCTACATCCGTCAAAACCCGACGTGGGATTTTTTGGGACTTTTTATCAGTTAATATGAGGAGGGTAATAAACAATTTCTGACAAGTCTTCTTTTTTTGAATTTTTGGATCAATACCTAATTTTACTGGACTAGAGGAGTTATAAATGCTTTATTTCAAGACCGGGACAAAAATCATCCAAAAAAATCAAGTACTAAATTTTGTATTTTTTTTACTTATATTAGAATTCGTATTTAAAAATTTTAGAAGAGTCCTAAAAACTAATCTTACTTTTTCATAACAAAAATTGACTTGGCCTACTTTACTGTTCGTGTCTTTTGATTTTCGTTATTTATGATGCATTATAACTGATTTAATACACTAATTAGTATTTTTCTATATTGTACAAAAAATAAATAAATAAATAAATTTGTTGATATATTCTAACCTAAATATCCGGGAAAAGCAAAGTCAAAAATTATTTATATAAATTTTGTTTTGAATTATATAAAAAAAATTTCTGGGCTCCAAGGGCACATTGGAACGAACGCCGAGATATGTGTCCAGTATTTTTTGATGTCGTATCACCAAAAAAAAAATGATTGAAATCAGTGACCCACTTACTATAGCCCCTCCTTGCAAGTCCCTTTTGACCAAATACATGTGATATAAGTAAAAGAACGAACGATTCTTTTTTAATTGGTTTTTCATGAGATTTGCAAAGCCTATA